CATTCCTTCCTCTTATCGTCTAGTAAGTCTCCTTCCCTTTTTTGCCGAACTTAGTGAAAAATTAACTATTAAACGCATTTCAGTGATCATTAATGATAAAAAAGTAATCCCTCATACCTAGTTCGACTTCAGATATAAGCACTCCACTATACATCAAGTCCATCGCTTAACCAACGCCATTTCCTATTCTGTGGAAAACAAACTTTACTGTTCGGCTGTCCTACTGGATGTTGCTCAAGCCTTTGACAAGGTCTGGCATTCAGGTCTTTTGTTTAAATTTAAAAAAAAGTTCTCCCCCATCCACACTTCCTATTTTTTAAGTCGTACCTAGAAAATCGCCACTTTATAACTAAAGTAGATTCTGAGTTCTCTGATTTAGCAACCATTCTAACCGGTGAAACTCAAGGGGCCATCTTGCCTCCCATTCTGTAAAATATATATGCAGTGGATCAATCCATATTACTTTACACCTCAGTTGTCGAATTTGCAGATGACAATGTCATTTTTACGTCTAACGACAATCTTATTTTCATCAGCTTATAATTACTAAGTTACCTTAACCAAATGGAAAGTAAAAATAAACACTGAACAAATTTTCACATATAACTTTAACTCTTAGGCGAGGCATCAATCCCCCCTCTTTTTCTGTCTAATAAAATTATCCCAGCGGTCTCTAGTGTCAAGTACTTATGTTTGATACTTGACAAATGCTTAACCTGGGCTGATCATATCAAACAAAAAAGGTTCCTCCTAAACTTAAGACGTAAGTCACTATATCCTCTATTAGGCAAGCAGTTCAAGCTCAACTTACAAAAATAAATTGCTGCTCTATAGAATGCTTCTCAAGCCTATCTGGGCCTATAGTGTTCAATTATGGGGAGCAGCTAAACAAATTTAACATTTACAAAATGCAGACCTTCCAATCCATATCCCTCTGAATAATAACTAATGCGCTCTTCTACGTTTTGAGTCACACTCTGCATTATGATTTTAATACACAGACTCTCGCCAAAGTGACCATATCGCGTTTTAAGCGTTTTTGCTGTTGCTTCGTGAACCACCTAAATCCAATTATTCTTCTTCTAAACTTAGCCAATATCTCAGGCAATCCACCAAGAAGCCTTAAGAGGCACTGGTGTCATAATTTGACTCATACATAAAAAAAAAAAATCCTACGCAAGTATTATAATCTAACATATCTCTATCATGTCTAAGTGTTAATATTGGGTATAGCTTCTTTACTCACTCCCTCATGTCATTATAATACATCTGAACGATCATATGTTTATTCTAAATATCATTGTAGATTGTATATGTACTAATAAACATTAAAAACAAAAAATTGTTTAATATTGTACCTATTTTTCCGTTTTTCTTGTTTTTTCCTCGTTTTCTCTATTTATTGAGAAAACCTCTGAGAAAATCAAAAAATAACCTCCCTAAAGGACCCATCAGTCAAATTTCCTTTTATAAAAAGTTGTCTGTTCTTACAATAGCAAGATATTTTATGAAACTTGTTGATAATATTTTTTCAACTCAACATTATAAATTTTTTGATTTATACATTTATACATAATTAGTTATGAATAATTTGAATCAATATTCTCTAAAGAAATTTTACCGGAGTGAGAAGGGAGAGGGTAAAATTGTTCAATGGTTATTTTTTTTAATAACTATGTTAAATTTATTTATTTATTTCTCAAATTAAACCTTACTATTATTATTTTTAGAAACTTTTAACTCCTTAATGGAACTTATAGGCTGTATACATAATATAAAGAAAAATAAATTAAATTAAATAAATAATGTAAATAAGTAAATAATTATATTAGTATAAGTTTGTTTTTAACAATCAAATTATTTATAACTGATTGTTTATAAATATATAAATCAAAAAAAGGTAAGATAATGGGGACGGGCGCAGCCACTGGTGTAGGTGGGAAGTTGGGAAGGTAGGATATAGATTGTAATATAATATATATCTGTAAGCAACGATAAACCATTGCTTACGAAAAAACTATTCTGAGCAGAATTCAGTTGATAGTGATGCAATGTTAAAATTATATTTAGTACCTTCCCAGTCAAATTTCCTTTCAAAAACATTGCTTTCATTATAAATTGGAACAAAATTGCTGGTTAAAAAGTTGTTCACAGGAAAAAAGAAGGCCGTAATACATTTTAATCAATACCTGCATTTATTATATATTCCTGTTATTTTTTTCGGTTTTTTCGGTTTTTCAAATTTGATGAGAAAACTCCTGAGAAAATTGTAAAATTACTTCCCTAAAGTACCTCCTCTCACCTTTTTCAGAAAAGGTACTACACTTAAAAATCTAAGCAAGTCTGCTGATAGAAAAGTTGCGTACAGATATATATATATATATATATATATATATATATATATATCGTATAAAAAAAAAAAATCTAACATCTTTGTAAAACTATAAGCTTCTGTACTCCACTCAGAATCTTAAAAACATAGGTACACATAATAGTAAAACCAATACATTGCTTGTGGGTTCAGAATATTATTAAAACGTCGTTGTGTTGTATGATTACTAGAGATAGTTACTTTGTGGTTGATAACAGGTATGGTTACTTAACCTCTTTGTTATGTTTTTGTTGTCAACATATTTTTATCGCTATTGTACTTCAGTTTCATGATACATATGTATCTTCAAGTGTAGTTTTCATCATCTTTTTTAAATACATAATTGCTGTTAAAAATGTAAATTGTATTTTATATTAATAAATAAAGTTGATTTCATCCGAGTAAGTCTAATGTGTATTAATATAAAAACTAAAAGTTAAACAGATGTATGCTCGTTTCGTTTTGATTTTCGTGGCGAAATTCCCCAAGTTATCGTGAAAGTAATAAATGAAAATTTACGCTCCGTCGGGGTTCTTTACACGGTTTCAGTAGAATTAAAATCCTTTCCCTGTGGCGCGGTGGACGGTCGGCCGAATATTTCTCAAACAAACTGTGGAGGGGGGGCTGAAATTACTTTCGAAAACACTTTGACGGTTGCTCAACAGTGACAATTATTATTATTATTATACGTATATAATATATATTTACCATTGCTGTCGAGTTGTATATATATTATAACAAAAATACAGTGACGGCAAAAGCGCAAGAGTTACCCAATCTCCTCCATTTACAGCCGTAGACGTCTTGGATAATTATTGCGGTGTGGTAGCGAAGATATTAATAATTATTATTCTGAAAATACCTGCTCGCCCGGGGCTCGCTCGTGACAGATGAAAGAGAGGTAGAAAACTTATCAATTCAGTGTGTATAGCGGAATTGTTATTATTTTCGGATTTGTACAGACTCGGCGGTGTCGCGGCGGCGGAAGAACTGATGTAGTGACGGGCACGATTGTTAATCGAAAATAATAATAATACTTTTGTGTTTTGTTCTGTCCGTTGCGAAAAAATATGCGCTTACAATTAAAAATATAACGATAATCATTTCCATCGGCCACCTGCTGCCCTCTCCACGGAACCCCTCGCCGCAGAGTTTTCGATATTTGTTTTTCCTCTCGTCGAGAAAATCAATTTATTTCAACTGTTGTAGCCGTCCGTATTATCATTATTAGGGATGAGATGTTAAAGAAGGTAAACTTTACGATACCAATATGCATGCACACACACAAAAAAATAATCGAAAAACATGCATTTAAATCCATAAAGTCTTCTGTCTTCTCTTTCGTCTTCATCTTAATTATTTAAGGCCAACCACAATCGTTATACACTTCCACTTGCCCTGATCCTCCACATCGCCCTTACCATACACTTATCGTCCTCATATTATTCTCAATGGCATCCAACCATATCTTTTTCGGTCTTCCTCGCTCCTTCTTTCCTCCTACTGTTATTTTAATTGTAATTCTTACCGCTTCTGATTCTTCTATCCCCATGACACGATCAACCCATTTCAGTCTAATATTTCTCATATTATGCACTATCGAAATGATACTTTTGCTGCCTCTTATGTATTCATACTTAATGCTATTTTCTTGCATTACTCCACTCATCCACCCAATCCCTCTCATTTCTCTGCTAAACTCATTCTCTGTTCTAATTTTCTGTCAGCCGTCCAACACTCCAAACTATACAACATAGCCGGTCTCACCATCTTACTCTTGTAGAATTACCTTTAAGTCTTCTTGGCATCCTCTTTTCAGATATCGAAGAAACACTTATTTTTAGCGTACAAAATTTGTTTTTTTTTTCTTATGTAGTGCGCTACTATTTTTCTTTTTCTACTTTTTTTTTTTTAACTTTTGTGTTTTTATCTTTTAAATTCATAATTTTATTTAAGTAAAAAATATCGCCTAAAGTAAAGAAATTTGCGCTGTTTCCCAGTAAAAAAAACGTAGTGTCAATCACGCGTCACACTCGTATGGCAATGACCGTATATTAAAACAATAATACATGTACTGAGGGCTGCACAAGAATACATACCATATAATCGAACATAAACCGTCAATTTTTACGGTCAGTTTACACCCAGAGTATACACCCAGGTCCGAGATCGCGTTTCACTTCAGGTCGAACGTTCGGTAGCCCGGTCGTTGCTCAAAACCGCAAAACGGTCGGGACTAAGCGAAGTGCAAAGCATATGACGGTATTACATAATATTGTACGCATAACGGTGTTCCAAGTATCGTTCAGAGGTGAATTATCTCGTAGTCTTCGTCGCACGTACTGAACGCGATCGACGTGGTCTCACCTTGTTCACCTTGTACCTCCGATCAAAATCGATTAAAAATACATTTCCTACCAATGTTATATATATTCTATCGTTCACGAAGGGTAAAAATATCCCAAGAATGTCGTACTCTCTTTTTATAAATTTAGAATGTACATTTGTTGTACGATTTCGCTACCTGTGAGTGGTATGATTGTCCTACGAAAGTTATACTTCCATTACATAATCCTAGGGGTTGGATATTTTCTAGGATTATGGTATTGGGGGTAAGATTATCCTAGGATTATCGTACTGCCGAGGAGGTATGATTTTCTTCGGTATTAAAATCCCGTGACACCGGGACGTCGATGGGTCGTCGATCGGGAAACTGTAAGGCAGCTGTAAGGTCGTCGTCAACCGGGTAGTTTCCGACCATGAAAAAGACCTTCTTCCGATGCTGCCGTCGTCGCCTACTCAGGCCGTTTCGACCGTCACCGCATTCGGTATCACCGTTGCTGTTATCACGACCGCGCGGCGAAACGCTCGCGCTGTGCGCCCGATCTGGCCGCGTCGCGCACATCGGTTGCGACGTTACAGTCGGGCTGCGTAGTTCCGTGTAAACGCACACAATCGTTGACGCGCTGAACGGGCGGACCATGTCCGCGTCGAAGACGTTACTTCGGCGTCGCATCGGCCGCGGTGTTGTTTGACGTTGCGTTATCTGTGACGGCGTAAGCGTGTCCGGCGTACACGGGTGTCGGCAGCGGCAACGGTGGTGATTTTTTCGACGACGACGTCGAATCGCGCTTTTTTTGAAGACGTTTTCTGTGGCTTTGACGTCGATTTCCGCGCCACTGTGGACATTTTACTATCGACGGAGTTCGAACGAAACCGGCGTTGACTAACACAACGAACAGAATAGACTATAATATTTTCGTCATACGACTTGGATATAAAAAAATATTAACTTTTAACATAATCGCCGGGTTGTGCGACGTGCGAACGACGATGTTCGTCAATTTGCGTCGCTGGCGATGAAATAATTTTCGACATTTATAGAATAGATCTGTTGTACTAAATGTATGGAAAATATGTTTGTAGGACTATACCAATATGATTGTTTCAATTAGGTCTGCGAAAAACGTCTGGCTTCGAACGAACGTTTTAATGTCAGAGTGTATAAATTTATAATAATATCCGATAGTTTTTGTTTTAAGTATACCGCTAGAGGGCTCGTGCGAATACTCCGTGTTTCAATAAAAAGCTTAACAGTACACATAAAAAATAATAACAGGGAGTTTTCATATTTCCCTAGCGACGGATTTTTGTTGCATATTCTCATTGATGTAGCCCAAAAAAACCGGTGTGCAAATATACAATGTGCCATTTTGTAAATTAACGATTCGTCACAGCGACACCTTATTTATCGATTATGGTTAAGTACGCAAAAGATGAAAAATGGTTTTTACCAAAAATACTACGGAGAAAATATTTAAAATAATTACCCGGCGATCAATGTTCGTCCATTGCGCTAACTCGTACCTCGGAAAGTACCTAATAAATCTTTTCGGACAATTAATAAAATAAACAGTTCTAGAATTATGTTTTATGTTTCCTTTATTTTTGTCGCCCTTATTTTAGATTTCGAACGTAGCGAGGGAGCTATTGGTTTTACAATGCTGTTTATTTTTTCTTCTTTGTTCTAGTCTGTGGACACGGTTTTTCCTAGTAAACTTGTTCCGATGTAAAAGTTTAGCGCCTTTTATGAATGCTCAAGTTGTCTAAATTGTACTTAAAAAAGGTTATTTATTAATTTTGACGTGATTTTTTAAATAAAAGCACGTAAGTGGGAAAAATTGTAGGAAAACGTACAATTTCACAATTCCATTATTTTATAAAAACATGGACGATGTTTTCTACCAGGAAAAATGATCAAATCGAAAAATCACAGGTCATCTTTTTTGTTGCCTTTTTAATTTACTTTCAAATAGGAGCTTTAAAGGAATCTTAATTCTGGAAGTTTTTGTTGTAATTCAGTTATAAATTAAAATAAAGATTTGAAACTTGGTAATAATACTTATATTGGACTTACTTAGACGTGGCAAAATTGCCAAAATCACCGGACGACTATTTTTTTTTTGTTATCGTTTTGAAATCAAATTTAAACGAAAATCGTAAACAAATTGTATCATTTTAAATTATGTATTACCGAATTACACTCTTTCGTCAAAATGTAAAACGCGACTTATTTAAGTATTTTGACTGTGATATACTTGATGTTTAATTTTTAATTCGAAACTGGTCGTATAATACACTTATCATAATACTCCAGGGAACACATTTATTTATTTATTAATTAATTTATTATTTTTATATACATTCACACAGTAAGTAAAATCGTACTCTATTGGGTGTTAAAATAGACCTTTCTGTGCTGGTGCATTTGGAAACAGAAAATATACTTAAAATATGTCCCGGTTACCAACATTATGCGATCACCACCATTTTTTTTTGTGTATATATGTTGATTTTATCAACCGAAAATATGTACACTCTTAGTTATCAATCTTCGGCTTGTTGCTCAATACAACCATTGTAAACATAGTGGGTTACAGGAATTTGAACAAAAACAAAAAGTATACATAACTCCGAATATTTCAGACGTAATATACTCTGATAAAAATAGTTGTTATTATTCAAAATATTTTTTTAAAAGCAGAAAATTTAGTTAACTACTTTACTTAAACAAAATAAACAAGAACATTCAATTTACATTCTAAATACAAATAAACAATAAATTAAATTTCTTAGATCTTACAGTTTCCATAATAAACAATACATTTGATATCAGTACGCACAGGAAACCTACACACACTGATGCTATAATACCACATGATTCTAATCATCCTATCACCTTTATTCTCAAAAAAATATAATTTTTTAATTCAATATGCTATATGCTTGAACGTATTCCATTAAATAAACATAATTATCAACACGATCTCAATATTATCTATAATAAAGCCCATAGAAATAATTTCGATTTCAATACTATTAACAAAATTCATAAATGTATTAAAGAAAAAATAACACACGACTCTCCAAATAGTGTTGTTAACTATTGTAGTATGAAACATCATAATAATATATAATACATTTTAGATAATAAATAATAATCAAATAATTGATATTTCTTAACGTATCTATGTCTAATAATAACTCATTTTAAATAAATGAGTCCTATTAAAATAAATTATTTCTATGTAAAACGACCAATTCGTATAATTTTTTGCCATGCTTTCGTTTATTTAATTTTTTATGTCCAGTCGCGTTTTACATGTTGACTGTGATACACCTGATTTTCTTCACGATAGGCGGGAGTGGGGGGGGGGCGGTTGGATTAGGTCAGGGGAGTCATCATCAGGTATATCACAGGTAAATAGCCCGAAAATGACTCAAATGTTTTGACCGAATATTGACTGAATTGTATTGTGAGAGAAAGGGAGTTTTACCGGCTACGGATGAGTAGTGTACATTTGGTACGACAAATGGTGCCGTAAAATAATAGTCTTATTGCGTAATATGTATGCTACGGATGTACGGCAGTATGTCCGTCGACGAATACGTGTGTGTGTGTGTGAGATTATTACACGGTAATCGTCGCGACACATACGTATACATGCATACTAATATAATGACGTATTATATATTCAATATTGACCGGCAGCTACCTACCGAACGAGATTACTTTTGTTCATTTATTTGCGTCTACTTAATTTTTCTTACTTGACGTTCTACTACTAGAACACGGAAAATTATCACTTACCTCGGTATATGCTGCTTGAAGTCCGCAAGTAGTCCGTTTCTCGAAATGCAAGGAGCGGGTAATAAGGATACGTAGGTTTCGATGAATCGTTACAAATTAAACACAATTAGGTTTTTCTAATTGTTTTACCACCGTTTAAACTGTGCCAATAGGTATTTATGTAACTCTACTCAGACGTCGGGTCGCTAATAAACGACGACTTCCGGGAGACGCGTCCGTTTAGTGTAACGAATCGCTATCCGACGCATTATCGTGTAACCGTTTTACTTAGAAGTGTTTATTACTGTATGAAATGTACAAACGGCCGTTTATCTTGAGTGACGACCACCGACCTCGTATGTTGACCTCCCGCGCTCGCGACAGTCAAGCGTAACATATTGTATGTATGTTTATAGTGGGTTAGTGGAGAAAAAACAATAGACACGTTTAAATGTGTAATAGAAAACGAGGTGATAACACGGACAGCTACCAGGTTTAAGAAAATGCGAATTAACCGAATAATACAACGGCCCGCCTGTGGCCTGCGCAACCGCTGTATCGATTCATAAGGATTTCGGTAGTGAGGATCGGGTAGCGAGCGAAAAATAGCGCGCTTCTGCCGAATAAGCCCGGAGAAGTGAACATTCTATGCTTAAGATCTTACGTGTCCCGCGTCTCTGCGCCTTTCGCGATCACCGAAAACGGCGGTAAAACATATATCTACAGGAGAAAATCGCTGTAACGTAAAATCCTGATCACTCTGTATATTATTGCATATGAAAAAAAAAATTAAAAAAATAATAATAAATAATAATAATCCAACACAGGAAAACGACCAACTAGACGTGCCGGAGCGAGATTTCCGGGAGAAAAGTTGTTTACAGTGAATAAAAAAAAAAAAAAAAACGGTGTACAACGATCCCTCGAGATCCCCCGCTGCGTCGAGGGAATCGAAAATCAAGATTTGTTTGTCGTCGGGATTAGCGGACGGACTAAAAACGAACCGCGACCAAAGCGTTTTTCACAATCGGCGACAATGTTATAACCGCGTAGTACGGGCCGAACGCGCGCCGCGGAACTCGTTAATTGCCGTTGATCCGCGGTTCCCATCGCGCGCCGCGTGTGCCGGCCGGCCGGACGACGGGGACGTGCGCGGTTTGTACGGCGCGACGAACGCGCGCACGGCCGCCGGGAACGTTATTATAACGCGTAACGATAATAATGCGTTGTACGAGTGACGCGCGGCGAAAATGATATTGTTATAAGCGAGTTGTCGTTCGCGCCGCCGTTCGGGTTTTCCGGTACGCGTCTCGTCCCCGGCTCGGGCGTCGCGACCGGTAATGGGATCGCGGCGGCGCGGCGCTCGCGGAAAACACGGGTCGGGCGCGATGCACTCGGGCGGGCGCCGCGCCCGACGACATCTCCGTATTATTATTATTATTATTATTATCGTCGTCGTCGTCGTTGTTATTGCGCGCGGGAGAGCAGTTTCAGAACGCGCGTTGGTATTTATCGCCGTATACAAATATCGTTATTATCGTGATTGTTGTTGTAATATCGCCCCGGACGTACGCGTCCAACTTTCTCGTCGACGACTTGTGTAGCGCGCGAGCGCGCGCGCTCGAACAGTTAACGAGCTCGATTAAAACACTTGTCCCATAATAACGTACGCAGACGACCGCTATTATAAATAATGCGCGCCCCGGTACATAATATAATAGCGTTTTAGTGTGCGCGCGCGCTCTCGCGTGTATTTAGCGTAATCGGTTTACGGGCGACCGGAAGAATAAAGGCGGACGGTGGGACACTGCCGCCGTGTTTCCGTATTCATTTCCCGTCTGTCTTGTCGCCGCCGCCGCCGCCGCCGCCGTCATCATCAACAACGA